GCTTTGGTTACTCTTGCCCTGTGATGGTTGACCGTAATCGGCATGCATCCTCATTGATCTTTGCTTTTGCTCTTGTTGTTGCTTTGTATCATTATTCGTCATGCATCAATTGTTCTTGATTCTCCTGTTTTCTTCGACCTTGACTTCCACATTCACCATCGGGCCTTGCTCACTACACTATCGATTCTCAACTTTGTTGTCGTTTGTCGTGGTGAAAAGTTTTGCATGTAATGTATTTTGTGTTGACCCTGTTGTGTCGTGGTCATGGTTGATCTGCAGATCTGATCGAGCAACCGCGCCCTGCCTCATCGACCTCAACGTTACCCGAGTTCATCCCATTGCCTGCTAGCTTTGTCCAGTCCCTGTTGGCTTACTCATACGTGTGCTGTGCAAGCCATGTATGATCTTTGGTTGTTGTTGTGGACGTCATTGCCTCGTTTGATGCTTGTTCCGGCTTTTCTATAATTAATTCAACGTTCGACTCAATTAACGTCCGCCGCCTTCCATCTGCCGGCCAAGTACACGCCGCCCCTATCGCCCACACCTCACACACACCCATCAGCCGTATCATACTCACCGTCATCAATGCTCAAGTCCAATCGCCATACCTACTACCATTTCGCCCGTCACGACCCCACGTCACGACCCCCCTCATCCCCCCCACCATACTCATTACCACCCGTCACCACAAACGACCACCCCCACCCCCTACCCCACCACTATCACTATCATCCTAGCCACAACCACCACCACCTTGCCTTGGCCATCCTCACCACCGTCCCATCGCGCACTCCGCTTCCTCTTCCTCCTCCTCCTCCTCCTCTCCTTACTCCAGCTCACCCCCATCCTCATGCCCGACCCCGACGCTCACACCCCTCAACCATCACCAGTCATACTGCCCGTCTACTCCCTAACAGCATTGTCAAGCCACCCAGCCCCGATCCCGCCCCCTCAGCTGCCCCTGCCTCGCCGACCACCAGCCACCAGCCGCCGCCCGCTCGCCCGATCAGGCCCACCTTCATCACCACCTAGCTCTGACCCACTACCAGCTACACAACCCACGATTACACCCAAGGTCATCACACATCCCACACTAGCACCAGTATCAATATCGCTGTTATCGATACCCATCTTCCTCGGCTCATTTCCGCGTCAACTTGTTTTGCCTAGGTGCTTGAGCACGTCCTGGACCGCCCGACCCCGCACACAACCCCCACCAACCTCATTGCAAGATATGCCCAATCTGATTTCACTACTACTCTACTACATATCCACACTACCCCCTTGCACGGTCTCCAATCCACAGCTGCAGTATTCCGGAATCCGAGTTCTGCCACCTGAGGCCCAACTTGTTGTCCTGGTGTCGTTTCGATGCTGCTCACCCCCCCGCCCCGGGCCCATCTCCGCCCCCCACTCCCCAACATCCCCACCCACAACCACCACACCCACACCACACGTACTCACCACCCCTGCAAACATAGTCACCAACTCCACGTGCGCAGATACGCACATCAGCCGACGCCAACCCGTCAACAGCATCGCTGCCGACCGCCGGCTGCTCACCGCCGACCGCCGCCCACCGCCGACCGACCACCGCCGGCACCACCGAGAGCAAGCTAGCCATCGATAGGGCATTGAAAACAATACATGGAGATAGCCACATCATTGACAATGACTACCAGTTTGCCCTCCAACCCACTCCTCCCCTCCCTCCTCCGGCCTTGCCCATCACAGCCCCCGACGGCCTGCTGATCACCAGCCCCCCCTTCTGCCGATCACCGAGCCAGACGATGAGACCTCCGGGCTGGCCAGGGCGAGGAAGCACAGGAGAGGGCAAGGGCAAGGGATAGGTAATGCAGTGGCGGGCTACAGTGCAGTGGTCTGCCTCCTTCTCCAATCTCAAGCTCTCGTCTCCATCGACGTCCATCTCAGTCCAATCCGTCCGCCCTGCTCTCCCTCGCCGCCCAAGCCCCTCCACCCTCACCTCCCACACTCTACACTCACCCATCATCCTCATCCCACCCGCCCACATCCACCCGCAGCCCCAATCGCCATATCCATCATCCTTCCGCCCGCCGCGCCACCCACGTCACGACCCCCCTCATCCCCCCTATACCTTACTCATTATGTCCGATCACCATGAACCACTCATTACGCCCCATCACGACAAACCACCACCCCCCACCCCCTACTCCACCGCCATCACTTCCATCCCAGCCACAACTCTCACCCCCATGCCATGGCCATGCCCACCACCATCCCATCGCGCACCCCGCTTCCTCTCCCTCATCCTCCTCCCCTCCTCGCTCTATCTCACTCCCATCCTCATCCACGACCCCGACACTGCCATCCCTTTACCTTCACATTGCATACTACCCACTCACCAACCATCAACAATCTCGAGCCGCCCAGGCCCGTTCCCGCCCCCTCTGCTGGCCCTGCCTTGCCGACCACCAGCCGCCCAGCCGTCGCCCGCCCGCCCGACCAGGCCCATCTTCATCGCCACCTAGTTCCCACCCACGACCAGCTACGCCATCCACCACCTCAGTCACGGTCATCACACACCGCACACTAGCACCAGTACAACATTGTCTGGCCGAGGACAAACCAGAGTCAACGGCCCATGCCTTGACATAAGCCAAAATGGTGGGTTTTATCACGCTACGATTAGCAGCTGACCGAGACGTCGCACGAAAAGCCGGCGTTCGAGCAGAACGAGTCGTGGTCGTTGAACTGCTTGTACATCGGACGGCAGCCGGGGAACGGCTCACTGGAGCACGAGAGCGAGCCGTCGTAGGTGGCATACCAGCAGCGCGGGAAGTCGATGCGCCACGAGCCAAAGAGCGACGACCACTCGCCGGGCGACGAGTAGATGCCGTACTTGAGGCCGGACTTGTTCATGGCGTCGATGAGCTCGGTCATGTAGTTGCGGTTGCCCGAGACCGAGCCGGTCCAGAGCGACGGCGCCTCGACGTCAAGCCACACAGTGTCGATGTTGACATGGTTGTCGTTGAGGTACGAGAAGAGGCCTGAAATCTGGCTCGAGACCGAGCCGCCGTTGGGGCAGATAAAGGCGTAGCCATCAACCTTGGAGTAGCCAGCAGCGTGCGCGTTGCGGACGTTGGCGGCGCCGTTGGGGTCACCGCGGCCGAACGACTGCCAGATGCGCGGAATGGCAAAGGAGAAGTTACCATGCCGGTGGCCCGACGAAAACTGTGACTCGGAGACGCCCGACGAGACGTCAATGCCAAAGGCCCGTGCCTGCGAAGGCACAGCGAGCATAGCCACAATGGCCACAATGGCGAGCACTGCCACAGAGAACACCTTGGTCTGCATACTTTTGGTCCTTGACAAACTGCTGCTGTTCACACGCAATTGGAGTTGGGTATGCCTTCCCGCAGCCGCCCGCTCGTTGCTGACGGGTCTCCAGCTATTTTTTGCCGAAACGCAAGTCACGCGACGCTGTGACGTGGCGCACAGTCGCACGTTTGGCCCGGCAGATTTACGGCGGCTCTTTATGTGTCTGTATTTTCCTCCACCTCCCACAACTAGTTCTTGCCGCATTCAAGCTGTTCACTCCTCCTCCTCGGCTCACCATCGCCACATACCGCAGCTACGCGCCATCGAGGCAGACTACGCGTCGTCGTCCTCGGTCGGCTTAACGAGGAGGATGTTGAACTTGCCGCGACGGACCATCCGTCGCGAGACAGAGCCGAGCAGGTGCTCCGAATGGAAGATGGTGGCTGTGCAAAGGACTGTGGCGAGTGGCGCCAGCGGCTCGATGTGCGCCATAATCGTCTCGGCGACGGAGCCTTCGCGGTCGAGAAACGCCACGTCGACACCGATGGCCTGCAGCGCGTCCAAATTTGGCTCCACCTCGAGCGCCGACGCCATCAACTCGGTCAGCGCTGACTCGCCGCGCGTGGCGGTGAGGACAGAGCACACGTGCAGCGAGCTGCCCATCTTTCGAGCATAGCCATGCGCCATGCGAAGCGCGCGGAGCGAGACCGGCGAGCCATCAAAGGCCATGGCGATGCCTGCGTCGGCCGCCACCGACGCGGTCTCGCTCTTGACCACAGCGATCGGGTGCTGGATGACGTCGAGGCAAGCCGCGGCAACCGAGCCGAGCTCCTCGGCCGTGGCCGAGGTGTATGCCGTCACCGCGAGTCCACGCGAGCCCATGAGGACCAGGTCGGCATCGACAGCCTCGACCAGGCTGACGATGCTGCCGGCGAGCATCCGCCACTTGGCCACCTTGCCATCGACGCCGTCGGCCTTCTTGGCTGAGAGGTGGACAAGCTGGTAGTCGATGCCTGTCGCCGCCACCGTCGTCTCTGCCTTGGCGAGCACCCGGCGTGGGTGGTTGAGCTCATTGGCATCGGTCTCGGGCGTCTCCACGCTCACCACAAACAACCCGTCCTTGCTGGACGCGAGCGCGAGCGCGAGGCGGAGCGCAGTGGCCGCAATGCCCGACCCGTCGAGTGCAACCACAAAGAGTCGGCCGTTGCGGGCACGAACAGCCTCAAAGCTGAATGAAGCGTCGATAGCCGTCACGCTCTTGTTCATTCTTACCGCCACCTTGGGGAAGCTAGCCGACGCCAGCCGCGTCAGCGTCCCGATTGAAGTGGCTGCCATTTTTGGGTCAGTCTGGGACAGGCTGTGAGTCACGTCTGCCTCCTCCCGACAACCGTCCGCCCCCTGCCCGCCTCTGCCCCGCACCCGCCCACTGGCAACCGCATTCCGCCAACTACCGCCAAATGAGCTGCCATTCGTCACAAACTATATCCGCCCCCCCACCCCCCCTCCCTTCAATGATCGCCCACCCACATACCATCGCTTCGCTGCTTCTGCCCCCATTAACCTCTCTCTCTCTCTCTCTCTCTCTCTCTCTCTTTCTCTTTCTCTCCCCCCCCCCACCATGCTAGTCACTGCCCTTACCTACACCGCCTGGACAGTGGCTGCTTGTCTCATGCTCTTTGCTGCATTTGTCGCCTTGGTCTCTCTCGCTCGCCCGAGCTCGTGGCTCGACCCCATCTCGGTGCTCTTGCTCGTCTCGGCCGATGATGCCATCAACAACATCAATGTCGCCGCCGTCCTCGACCCGCCTGCGCTTGACCCACAGACATTTGCAGAGGCATTTGTCGACGCCTTTGTTGCCCCGCATCCGCGCTTACTCTCCGTCATTCGCCGCGTGCCTTTCATCGGCTGGTGTCAATGGGTGGAGCTGGAGAGCTTTGATCCGGCCGACCACGTCCATGTCCACCACGCCATCATCGATCATCTTGCCCTCGAACAGCTCACTGCCGATCTTCTCGGTCGCCCGCTAGCCGTTGATAGCCCGCTGTGGGATCTTCATCTCTTTCCGGCGTACACCCGCGACGATGGCGCCGTCTGCATGGCGTTCGTCTTCCGCATCCACCATGTGCTCGGCGATGGCGTCACTCTTGCCCGGCTCTTCTACTCGGGCTTTGATGGCGTCGTCTCGCCGTTCAGCCGTCAGGCTCACACTCTGCGCACGTTTCGCCGACCCGGGGCGGCTCTGCCACTCTCGGCGCGCTTCACTCAGTCCGGTACTGCCATTTGGCGGCTGCTGTTCTCGACGCCGGATCCGCCGTCGGCGCTCAAGCGCGATGAGAGCGAGTACCTGGCACCTACTGGCTCCCGTGTCGCCGCCTTTGCCACCGCCACAGCACGCCTGGCCCCGCTCAAGGCTGCAGCAAGAGACCTGGGCGTTACCATCAACGATGTGTTGCTTGCTGTCCTCGCTGGTGCCCTGCGGACGCTGGCGCTCGCCAGCTCGCGCCCGCTGGCGCCGGTCACCTCGGTTGTGTGGGTCTCGCTCCAGCCGCTCCGGACCATGTTTACTCCGCTCGACATGCCTCCAGCTCCATGCTGGGGCAACTCGCATCTCGGTTTTGTCTACGTCACGCTTCCACTCGACCAATCGGATCCACTGGCCCGGGTCCACGCTGTCCACACCCAGACCACGGCCCTGCTCTCGGCGCCCGACGCTGCGCTCGGCTCGCTGCTGATGGCGATCCTCGGGTGCATCCCGCGCCCGATTTTGCGGCCGCTGTGGCGGCTGACCGCTTACAAGATTTCGAGCTCGATGTCGAACATGCCCGGCCCCGCCGCAGAGCTCTCACTAGCTGGCCGAAGGCTGTCGTCACTCGCGTTTTTGTTCCGCCACAAGGACGCGTCGGCGTCTTCTCCACCGTCTTCTCCTACGCAGGGCGCATCGGATTTGGCCTCGCCATGGATGCACAGCTCGCTAGCGCGCACGCTGTTCACCATGCTGCGCACGTCGCATTTGACGCCGCCGTCGACGACCTCCTGCGCGCAGTTGCTGCTCGCTCCGACGCGTGATCACGCCCGCTGCTGACGGACCGGGCCATACACCACTGCTGACGATGCAAACGTGACCAGTGCCTCCAGCCCGCCCACCGGCCGCTTGCCTACACACCCCTCGTTGTACGGTGCGGTGTAGAGCGCTGACGGCTTGGTGGGAAACGACGCGATGGCACCGGCGTACGCCAGGCCAGCCTGACGACTGCCGCCGACGAGCGAGTACGCGAGCAGCGCCTTGGGCGCCGCCGCTGAGAGCGTGAGCAGCGCCGCGCCCGTGTTAAACAGCGCGGGGTGGTTGATCTTAGACCCGGCGTCCTGCTTGTCGTGCGCGAGAAGAACTCCGAGTGGCGCTTCGGGCGCACGGATGTCTGAGACAACGATGCGACCGCCAAACGAGACTGACAGCAGCTCAAACTCGGACCGCGGCGACCACACGAGCGAGTTAATAGCGCGCGAGTGGAGGTTGCCCATGGCGAGCACCGGCAGCGGTGATCGCACATCATACAGCGAAACAATCTTGTCGTTGCCGGCGGCTGCAAACGCGTCCTCCGCCCCCCACGCCACGGCCTTGACCACCGCCCCGTCGTCCGACTTGACGTACCGCCGGATGCCGATCGCCACCCCGTCGTCGCCGACAAGGCTGTGCGATACTGTCCCGTCCTTGGAGCCCGAAACCATCGAGCAGCCCGAGAGCGCGAGGTCGTAGATACCAGCATCATGGATGCCGCGCGAGACAGCGAGCGGGACCAGGTCCGGCAGCGACGCTGCCACCACCGTTGCGTCGTTGGCGCACGAAATGAGCAGTGGCCCGGCCTGCGAGCCCGCCCGTGGCATCAGCGCCACTTGAGAGACCCATCCAGAGTGAAGCTGCTCCGTCACTACGCGGCGCTTGCTCCCCACATCGTCATCATCATCATCATCAACGTCATCTGCTCTACCGACGCCACGAACAAGAAGCGAGACGTTGCCGCCGCCGCCGGCCACAACGCCCACCTCGCCGTTCGAGCTCAGTGTCCCGGCATACACCTTGTGGCGAATACCTGTAAACACCTCCAGCTCGCCAAGCTCCAGCAGCGCCTCGGGATCCATTGCTGGCGCATGGATCGCTGGCCAGCGCGGCCGCGCCCGCCACCCGGGCGCCCGCATCACCGCCGACGCTCGCAGCAGCCTCGGCTGCTCGGTCCGCAGCGTCCTCGGCACCTCGCTCCTGCTCGCCTTCCGCTTGCGCTTTGATCCCGGTTTGGTGCAAGCTTGATCGCCATCCACATTCTGTGCCGATCTCCGACTGCTCCGTCGCCTCGCCTGCGGCAGCTCGGCCAGCCCGGCCTCGCCACTAAGCTCTCGCGCTCTCCGCGACGCTCGCGTCGTTCGCCCGCTTCTCCGCTCGCCTGCACCTGCGCCCGCACCTACACTTGCGCCCACACCTGTCACATCTGGCGCCGACCTTGTCTCCGCTGCCGCCTGCCTTGTTGCTCTCGTTCGCGATCTGCTCCTTGCCCTTGCCCTTGCCTTTGCCCCGCCGGTCTCGCCTCTGCCGCCAGCGCCTTCGCCGCTGGCCGACTCCTGCTTCCTTGCCACCTTGCGCCGCTTCCTCTTTGGCTCAGCTGTGTTCTTGCTCTTCTGTTCCTGCTCCTCTTTGCTCTCCCGCTCTGGCTCGTCCGCACCGAGCGCAGCAAAGAGCGTGAGCTGCCCGGCAACGGGAGCGGCCAGCCGACGAGCGCGTAGATTCTTCGCCCGCGGCCGCGCAGTCTGAGCTCGAGCAGGCTGAAGCTCATCAACCCCACACTCGCCACCCTCAAGCGACACCCTTGCTCCTCCCTGCACCCAAGCCGAGAGTGTGCTCTGCATGTCGAACAGCTCGTACACAAGTCACGTGTACCCCCCCTCCCCTCCCCACCACCACCCTCCCTCTTCCTCTCGTCTCCTGACCACTCGGCCAATCGCTCGTTCGCTTGTTCGTTCGACACCCTCCCCTCCCCCCACCCTCCCCTCCCACCACCTTCCCCGCCACCTCATTCCCCTCCCTCATCACTATCGCCTCCACCCTGCCACATGGAACTCATGCATCTGCATGCTTTCAGACATCGCCCGCAACAGATCGCTTCTCAGACTCACTTGTCCAATCCCTCAATGACTTGTTCCCCAAACGATCACTGATCACAAACCATGCCCGACCTTTTCTCAAATCCCCATCTCGTGCTCCCCCCCTCCCGCCCCCCCCTCCCCCCTTCCTTCCCTCCCCTAACCCTCACTTCCTTCCCTAAACCCATTCTCCCCCACTTGTCCTGATCCCACCCAATTCCCTCTACCACTCGTCTCGCGGCCTCGATCCACCCGATGTGGCGCCACCTCCGCCGGCTGTCCACTTTGGCACCACAGCCGCTGCCTCTGCCGCCGCCACCCACCGCAGCAACACCGCAACTCCTCGACCTTACCTCCTCTATCCGGACTCTTCCTCTTGCCAATGCTATGACGACGGCGCTCGCTTATGCCGCCACCGCCGCCGCTTCCACCGCCACCAGCTCGTCGCTCTCCTCGGCTGCGCTCAGCCCGGTCCATGCCGCTATTCACCGGGCGCTTGCTCGCGGCGCGTGGCGTGATCTCGGCTGTGAGCCTCTGGATCTCGCTCTCTCGCTCCATGCTGCTCTTCCGGGCCTGCCGCACTCGCCGGGATCGCGCCCGCTGCTGGCTCGCCTCGCGCTCACCTCGCGCCAGCACCCGGCCAAGGCTGCTGCCTTTGTCGGCCACGTCCTCGACGAGCAGCAGTCTCGTCCGGCGGGGCAGGACTCGGTCTCGTCGCGCACACTGGCCTCGTTGGCGCTGAGCGCAGCGCGGTGCAAGTTGCCGGCTGCAGCTGCGAGCCTCCTTGCCCGCCTCCCGCCTGACGCCTCCATCGACGCCCTGCCCGACGCGCTTGCTGCCGATGCTCTTCTCGCCCGCTCGCTCGACGAGCTTGTTAGCGTCGTTGCCGCCGTTGTCTCGCCGGCTGCTTTGCTCAATCCGGTGCCGGCTGCCGCGCTCGTGGCCCGCATGGTCGAGCTGAGCTCTTCCCCAGCAGCCGCAACGCACGCTCTCGCACGCGCTCGCAGCCTCCCGGCCGAACGCGCGATGCTGACATGTCTGCTCCGCGGCGATCCTGCTGTTGCGCCGCCGCATGCAATCAACGTGCTCGTGCGTGAGCTTGCCCGCGCTGGCCACGTACAGGCTGCCCTCGCTGTCCTCCGCCGCGCTCCCCACGTCTCCAAGCGCGCCGCTATCGCGGTAGTCAAGGCTTTGCCGGCCGCGGCGAGCCTCGACGCACTCCTCCGTCCGCCACTTCCCGCCGTCCGCCACCTTGTTTCCAACCAGCGCTTTGCCCGCACCTGCATGCTGCGGCTGGCGCAGCTCGGCGAAAAGGCCCAGACTCTGCTTGCACTCGACACCCTGCTTGCGTCAGCGCCACACGCCGCAGCTCGTGAGGTCAACGCCGTCATCGCTGCTGCCGCTGCCGCCGGCCACGCCCGCCACGCAGAGGCCTACCTTGCACGCCTGCCAACTAACCACCGTAACGAGCGCACTGTTGTCGCCCTCATCGAGGGCATCTCGTCCATGGCTCAACTTCCGCGCCTGGCCAACATTGTCCCGGTCATTGTCCACGCCGGCGTCCGCCCTTCCGCTGCCACCTCGGCTGCGCTCGCCCGCATGGCTCAGCGCGTCCGCGACAACTTTGCCTCGACCGCTGACGGCAGGCTCACCTCGCGGGTCATGGCCAACTCGTCGCTCGAGCTCCTCGGCGCCCACAATGTACTCGACGCCGAGATCACCCACCCGGACTCTCCCGCCCGTACCGTCCGCGTCCGTCACCTCCTCGCCTCTCACCCGCATCTCTTTGCCGAAGCTGTCGTCGCCCTCTACGTCGACTCGCTCGCCACCGCCACCCATCAGCCATCGCTTGTCCTCTCTCGTCCTCCTCCTCCCGCTTCTACCTCCTGAGGTTACTCCCAGGTCACGCCACACTCAAACGAAAAAATATCTCTTTCTTTCGCTCCGCCTCGTGCCGCCCACCCTCCTCCCCCTCTCCCTCCTCGCTCTCCCCACCCCACTCCTCCCCCCTCCCTCCTTCCCCTCTCTCTCTCCCTTCCCCCCTCCCTCCCCCTCCACACACACCTCGACATGCACATTCGCCCCACCCGCTGCCGTGCCTATGCTCTCGGCGCCTGTGCCATCGTCACCGCCACCGCCGCCGCCTTGCTCTACACCATTGTACGACCAACGCATGTCCACCCCCTCCTCCATCCCCACCCCCCCTCCACCTTTTCCTCGCTCTCAAATTGTTTACACTCACCCCCCACCCGCACGCGCACGCCTGCAGCTCTTCCCTTACCTCCTCAAGTCCGGTGTCGAGGCCACCATCACGCTTCCGTCCAAGCTTGCTCAAGCATACCCACAGTACTACAACAACTCTGCTGATGCCAGCAATCCGCCGCTCTACGAGGTCTACACCATGTGGAACCTGACCAATCCTCACGAGGTCATGGCAGGCACCGCCAAGCCGGCGTTCGAGGCCGTCGGCCCGTTTACCTACCGCGACGTCAAGACCCATCTCTTTGCCGACTTTGCCTCGGACGGCAAGTCTGTCTCAGCCGTCGAGGGCGATACCTATGTTCACGCCAACCTCTCCGGTGAGGCCTCGCCATACTCCACCTACATCACCAACATCAACCCGACGTATCTCGGCGTCATCCTCTCCGCCGGCTCCGACAAAGATCTCAAGGTCATCGTCACCGGCCCGGCCATCGCGCGCATCATCGAGTGGACAAACATAGTCTTTCGCGACTACATCGCCCAGGACTATGTCGCTGACCGCCTCGGCTTTGCCCTCGAGGTCCTCCTTGGCTCGGCGCCAGAGACTCTCAACTGCACCAACCCGGACAACGCCCTGGACCTCGCCTCGGCTCCGCCAGCATGCCAAGCTTCGTTCTGTGCTGCCTTTACCAACTCGACGTACAACCTGGCCCCAAGCTTCCCGCTCTGGTACGGCCTACAGACTCTCGATCCTGCAGCCGCCATGCCGCTCCCGGCCTGTCTCGCCGTCGTCGACTCGCTCCTCTCCACCCAGCCCGACTCGCTTGCCCTGTGGAAGGGCGCGCGCCTGGGCAACGCCACCGACATCGCCACTCTTTCTACCCGCCTCGGCCTCGAACGCCCGCAGCTTGCCGCGCTCCTCGCCTCCTTCCTCCCCTCCTTCCAGTCCGCCTACGTCAACAACGCCATGTGCAACGCCTTTGGCCTTCCGGCCATCGAGTTCCTTGCCTACGAGCAGTGGGCCCGCCTCACCATCACATCCGGCGTCCCGCTCTCCACCCTCTTTCCGCAGCATCCGCTCTTTGCTGGCATCGACGTCCCCTTTGAGTTTCCGCTCGCGGCCTCCATTTCGCCAGGCGAGAACTGGATGACCGGCGCCCGCGCCGCCATGCTCCTTAACGGCACCCTCCGCGGCGGGCCCGACGCCGGCCTCCTCTCCACAAACGGCCTTGTCGACTTTCTCACCGATGCCGTCCCGCCACATGCCGGCGTCCTCGGCGCAAAGTACAACCTTGATGGCCACCAGGTTGTCGACATGTTTGTCTACGGCCTTCGCACCCTCGAGTCGTACGGCAAGGCCTACGCCGCCGAGCTTGTCAACGACAACGCCGGCATGTTCATCACAAAGACCGTTGACCAGTGGCTCTTTGACTGTCACGACGCCCTCCTCGCCGTTGTCCAGCCCAACGGCACCTGCGCGCTCATCACCAACACCACATCGCTCGAATGGGCCGCCACCAACACCCCGCCCGACACCATCACCACAGGCTACGGCGATCTTTCCGCTACCCTGCAGTACACAAAGTACCAGACCCAGGCCACCGTGGCCTGGAACAACTACAACGCACCGGTCTTTGGCTCAGACGGCACTCAGTTTCCGCCGCTCCTCTTCAACTCCTTTGATCGCTCTGCCCTCATCCATGTATTTGAGACAGACCTCGTTCGCTCGCTCCCGCTCGCCTTTGATCGCCACGTCTCGGCCCACGGCATCGCCCTCAACCGCTATCTCCCTCTCCGCGAGCTCTTCCTCCCCGACGAACGCTTCTTTCAGTACGTCACCGGCTTTGCCAACCTCACCATCACCCAGCAGGCCCCGATCTTTTTCTCCTACCCTAACATGCTGTTTGTCGATCCCAAGTACGTGGCAAAAATCGATGGCATGCACCCCCGGCTCGACGACCAGGCCTCCATCGACGTCGAGCCCATCACAGGCCTCACCATGCGCGCCCACAAGCGCATCCAAGTCAACGTCTACATCCCGCCAGACCTTGCCTTTGACGACTTTAACCCCGACGTGGTCAAGGACATCTTCTACCCCATCGTCTGGGTCGATGAGACTTCGGAGATCACCCCGGCTCTCGCCGCCGACTTTCGTTCCTCCGTCTACCTCCTCCGCGATCTCCGCCTCGGCTCCGTCATCGTCCTCTCCGTCGCTGCTGCCGCCGCCCTCGCCGCCTCGCTCATATGCTGGTTCAAGGCGCCCGCAGGTAGCCCGTTGCTGCCTCCCCAGCCGTACTCCCCACTGGGCAAGCCGGTCGCCCCTACAACGTCACTACCCTCCCTCAACGAGGGCTCGCGCCTCCTTCCCCCGCCGCCACCCCCTCTCACCACCACATAGGCACCAAACCCATACTTTACGCACGCTTCTCACACCGTCCCGGTTCCGTCCACCGTTCCCACGCTCGACATCGCCGCAGTCGAAAACTCGCCGCCTTCGCTGCCCTGCACCGAGTCGAGCACCGGGTTGACCGGCGCGCTGCCCGCTGCCGAGCCAAGTCCACCCAGTGAACCAATCACTGCAGTCGACCCACAGCTGTCACTACCGCCAGGCGCCTCCACAATAACCGACGATCGCGCTTGTGCTCGTTCCACGTCAAACGCCAGCGACGAGCCGCCGTCGCCAAACTCGGCTGCTGCCTCCTTCTCGCGCCTGCGCGCAAGCAGCACGTCGACTCCTGCCGCAGCCAGCATCCCGCCCACCATCACCACAATGCCGCCCACCACTCCTATCGACCGCAGTGTTGTGTTGGTAAAGGTACCGGCATGCAGCACGCCCATCGCCGCCACAAGAACAACTGTCGCCACCATGTTGTGGTGCTTGTTCACATACGGCTTGCGAACATGCAGGTCGACACAGAAGCACGCCAGAACAGCGACGCTCACATACGCCTTGGTCATATCGCCCCAGAACAGCGTCATACTCATCACCAGACTTGCCTTTCGCGCCATCACCAGTGCCTCAAACCACCACGCCGAAGCCGAAAATCGCCCCACAAGAAACCCGTACCGGAGCACAAAGCTCACCTCGTCGAGTGCGTCTCGCTGCTGCTTGAGCACCCACACCACGCAGCCCGGCAGCCCGAGACCATAGCCCAGTACTCCACAGAGCCCAAGCGGGAAGAGTCCCCACCACGTTGCCGTGTAGCAGCTCCGCGACGGTGCGTCGTCAAGCACCCACCGCCCAGTCGCGTCCTTTCGACATCCAAACAGTGAAAAGCTGCCAGACACCAGCGCCATGTATAGCAGCACCATGATCTGCCACATGCACCGCTTCGCAGCGCCCACCAACTCGCCGATGCTCTTGTTTCGGACCCACGGGGCATGCACAGCACGTGCCACCGCAAACAGTCCGCTTGCCAGCCCCAATCCAGCCGCCGCAAACACAGGCATCACAAGCGTGAGCACAAACTTGAGCACCCACACGTCCGTCCCGTCCGCTGCCGCGCACTCGGGACTCGTCAGCTCGAGATTGACATTGACTGCAGATGCAATGTCAAAGTACGCCGCCGCAAACGCGCCCCACTTAAAGTCCAGCCGCCCGTACAGCGCCACAATCTGCAGTCCGTTGAGCCCAATCATCAAAGACGCAAACTTGTAGCTCATGCTCTCTGCGAGGTTGAATCCGAGCAGGACGCATATCACCGCCAAGCAGCCCAACACAAGCAGCAGAACTGCCGCCGCATTTCGCCCGGTGTTGCACTTGAAGCACTTTCCGCTGAGGGCATAGTACCCGTCCGCACACTCGGCACACAGCTGCGCTGCGTATCCGGTCGCACATGCCCCACCACCGGCGCAAGCTTCAGCCGTCGGGCATGCCACAAACAAGTCCACCCGTCCGCCAGGTGCAAAGCCTGGCGCAGCCACAGGGAGCTCAGACCCGCCACCACACACCCCGCCTTCCGGGCACGCCGCGCATGCCGTGCCAGGCTCCAAGTGGTAGAAGCCAGGGAAACAGCTGCATCGGGAGTTCGTCCCGTTCATGCTCCCGCTCCCGCCCACAGCAGAGTTGGCCGGGCACGCCTCGCAAGGTGCCACACCAGACACGAGGCTGAACGTGTCGCCGCTGCATGCAAAGCAGCCGAACCCGCCGCCGCCCACCGCTCCACCGCCAAACCCGGGCCCGCAACTCTCGATCCGCACCGCAGCCACCACCCTCACCGCCGCCGCGCTAGTCTCGCGAACAGACACCACAACGCTCACTCCGTCCAGCGGCAGTACACCCGAGTCGTCGACCGTCACAGAAACGGCGGGGATGCTGGTCGGCGCACCAGCTGTCATGCGCATCACGTTCGTTCCCACAAGCACAACTCCAGCTGGCGTCCCTGGCCCCAGGCTTGCCTCCACCTCATAGTCGGACCGCCCAGCATCGCCGCCGAACCAGTCGCTCGCGCTCACACTGCCCGCCATCCGGATGCCAGCGGCTATGCTCGCCTCAGGTTCGACCTCCCACACAAGTCGTGTTGGCGGCGAGGTAAACGTCGAGCCCTCGCGCGAGTTGGCCCAGCTCGCCGCATCAAACGCCAGCCACGGCAGGGAGTTCGCGTCCGTCCTGTCCGGCACAAACGCGCCGCCAGCCGCAATGCCGTCAGGCCCACCCACAGGCAGGCATGTCAGGATCTGACCGCGTACCTCTGCCTTGGACCCCGATACCGCCACACATCCGCCGCACAACAGCATGTTCCCGCCGCCGCGCCTTGCAACGTTGTCATAACTTCGTGCTCCGTCAAGTACAACCACAGGCGAACAGGATTCATCCGGTGCCGTGCTCGCCTCTGGCAGGCTCAGCACTGTCCGCGTTTCCGCCAGCAGCGCTTCCAGCCCTCCCTCCATCGCCACAAGCCCGCCGCCAAACGTCCCGGCATGATTGCTGCTCACGCTGCTCTCGCCCGTAAGCGTCACGCTCGCAGGCGCTTCCGCCAACAGCCCACCACCACTCCGCTCTGCAGTGTTGCCTGACACGCTGCTCGCATCGACCACCACAATGGCTCCGGTCGTCGCCTGCAACCCGCCGCCAGAGCCAAACGATGCCACGTTGCCGGCCAGTACAACATGGCTCACGTTGGCCCGCGATGCACTCACAACACACAGCCCACCGCCGCCGCTCTGTGCCGAATTGCCTTCGATTCGCACACCTTCTAAGCTGCCGTCCACGACAACCTCGGCGTCGTTGTCCACAAACAGCCCGCCGCCGCGAGTCTCCGCGACATTTCCCGAAATCACCGCTCCGCGCTCCACCCGCAGAGTTGCGCCCGATCGGACAGTCGCGCCGCCTCCAGGCCCACTTCGAGCCAAGTTACCGCTGATCACGCTGCCGTCGCGGATGCAGCCAGCCGAATCGAGGCCAACCAAGGCCAACCCGCCACCACCCGACCCGTCGCCGGCCGTCGAGCCAGAAATAGTAGAGTTGTCCATCAGCACTCGCCCGCCGTTGAGACCGAGCACGCACCCGCCGCCTCCGTCGTACACCACAAGCCCGGAAATCGACGGCGTCGTGTCGCATCCTTCGATCACGGTGCCATGCAGCTGCAACGAGGCCTCGCTTCCGACGACCCGCAAGCCTGGCGCAGACTTGGAGATGGTCGACGAGATCGCCATGCCACGGATGGTCAAGTTGGTCAGGACCAGGCCACCAATGCCGATACCAGGAATCTCGCGACGTTGATCCTCGCGGATCGAAGCAAACAGCACGCCCCTTCCCTCGCAATCGAGAACGACACTGCCGGGCTCCGCCGCCGCAAGTTCTACTGCAAACGAAGTCTTGATGTGCGAAATCGTCGGGCAGTACACGTACCGCCCGGCCTCAAGCACTACCCGGTCGCGCACACATCGCCCTGCACGGGCCATCCGCTGCGCCACACATGCCATGTTTCGTCCACCAGCAACCGCAAACTTGAAACACGGCGACTTGGCGTCGGTCCGTAGAAAGTATCCATCACCGGCAGCTTCGGTATGTGTCCGCGGCGCCCGCAACGCCAGTGGTGACGTTGTGGACAGACGCCCAACCTTGACGTTGACACCGGTCCACACCAGCACGTCTGTCGCCGTGTAACCACTGCTCACCGGAATGGCATCGTAGACCGGCAGGTTGTACGTACACAAGATGTTCGGCGAGTGCGCAAACGTGCCAGGCACTCCATCATTGGTGAACAGCTGCAAAGCAACGTTGCCGATGCCACGGGAAACAAGAATGTCCAACGTACCGTCCAGGTTGTAGTCGTGGAGCGCAAAGTTGTGCTGCACGTTGTTAAACGCCAGAATGGGAGAGCCCCGCAGCGTAAACGTACCGTCGCCACTGTTGACGAGTGATGACAGGAGCAAGTTGGACGAAATCCAGACAATGTCGACAGCACCGTCGAGGTCCATGTCGCCTGTCTGGATCCGGACAAAGCTCGCGCCGCCGCTCACCACGTATGTCGAGACGTCAAACGCCGTCCCGCCTTGTGCCATCCCCAACAGCACTCCCACGCTCTCTTCGAGACCAACCGCCACGTCCGGCAGCCCGTCACCGTTGAGGTCTGAGACTGCTAGCGACGCAACCGTTGCACCAAGGTTCCCCATCACCGTCGTACTATCAGGCACACAGTCACCGGTTGCGCCGTCGACCTTCATCCACGCCACAGTCCCAGAGCTGCTGGCTACCACATAGTCCAGCATGCCGTCGGCATCCATGTCTGCCAGAACCACAAACGTGACTGCTGGCATCGTGCATGTCACAGGTCGCCGTGAGAACGCAACAGCCGGAGTCGTCGCTTCCAACAAGTACACCACAAGCGTGTTCTCACCCGGGACCGCAATGACCCAGTCTGGCATGCTGTCAACGTTGACGTCGCCAAAAGCTACATCGGTGCCGACAATGTTCTCTTCGTTAAACAAATAAAGCGAAAAGTAGGTCGACGAGAACGTTGTTTGCGTCCGCACAATGGAAAAGCCCGGCTCCGCGAGCAGAAACACCTCCTCGTGCCCGTCATAGTCAAGGTCGAACGCTTTCATCACCAGCGATGCCGCTTCAAGAACCCCGACTATTCGTTGTGCGGCCTCGGGCTCCACTGCCGCTTTGGTCTCAGACACCGTTGTAACCATCCGTGAGCCTGTAGTGTCAAACGCAAATACATCCGCAATACCGTCGGAGTTGCGGTCACCAACCGCAATCGCCGACAGCGACCACGATACATCACGCGCCATCAGATATGGACCCGACATGTCGCCAGCGTCGTTGTATACCCGAACTGCGATGATGCCGGCTGCATCCTTATGCATCAGCACAGCAGAGTACTTGAAGTCTTTCAGCGACGCAATCGCAATCGAGTCACGGCTCGTCGACGACACACCTTGCAAGATGGTAAGCTGCGGCGCAAACGATCCACCCCCGAGCCCGTAATAGACAACCACTCGCGCATCAGTTGTTCGCACCACAACATCGAGTAATCCTATGCCGCGCAAGTCGCCAACAACCACCGCAGCTCCAGCAGCTGTCACCTGGCTCTCAAACACTTGGCGCGCGCCCGCACTAAAGCCCCCGCTGCCATCGTTGACGAGCCAGTAAAGGCCTGCGTTGCCGTCTGAGAGCACAGCGTCGGCATATCCGTCACCGTTGACATCACCCGCTGCAACCGATAGGAGCGCCGCACCCGTCAGCGTGTACTGCACCGGCGCAGCAAACGAACCCGCCCCGTCCGAGTTGATAACCACCCTCAGCTCGTTGTTCGAGATGCCAACCACGTCAGTATCGCCGTCATTGTCCACGTCCACCGCCACAATCCGGAGCCAGCCACTGGTTGCACCAAGCCCAATCACGTTGGCCGACGAGAACGTGCCCGCCCCGTCGGTGTTTGAGTACCACGCGAGCGACGGTGCATCCGTGAGCAGCAGAATGTCACGGTCACTGTCGGCATCAATCCGTACCAGTGCCACGTCTAGCCCATCGCCGGGTAGCGAGCCGTCAACAGTCGATCGCACAACGCTATTAAAGTTGCCGTCGTTGTTGAGGTACGACCGCAGCACTCGGGTGTTGAGGACTAGCACAGCGTCGTCGTTCCCATCGCCGCTAAAGTCGCCGACCGCAAACACCGACGACAGAGCCACCGCACTCTCGTAATACACAGTGCTCCCCGTGATGCGCGAGCACCGTGCATCCTCCCCAGGTCCCAGTGCCGGTGCCTCGGCACACAACCCCATCGGGCTTCCAAGTCCGCTCAGCACCTTGCCGTCCGCCGCCAGCATCTTCTCGGCCATCACCGCCGCCAAGATCGCCATCACCGCAAAGGCACACACACCAGAGGCCTGCCTGCCCTTGTACACCATAATGACAATATTCCGACTGCAACTCCGTGCCCGTCTGCAGTCCACTTGTCCAGTCCCTGTCACCTCCGCCCACCTCTTCGTCATGTCGTCAGCCAACACGCACCGAGACCCACCTTCCCACCCCACCCCCCCCCCCCCCCCACCCCCCCTCCCCTCCCCTCCTCCCACAACCCCTCCCCCGGCCCCTATCCTACAAACCACCCACCATTCCTAAAACATACCCTACAGCAAGAGGCAAGTGTATCCGCTGCGTAACACGTCAATACCGGCTTCGGGGCTTGACCTGCTTCAGCAATCTTTTTGCAAGCGAACGCGTGCAGCCGTGTCGTTGCTACCGAGCCTTGCCCAACCCTTCCCACCACCACCTTGTACACTCCCACAACCCCCGCATTCTTGTCTTGGTTACCACCCGGACCTTGGCACACCCACCACACCTACCACTCTCACCCTTGTCTCCCGTACGCGATGCACCACCCTTCCCTCCTCCACCGCCAACCGCTCCCCTCCCCTCCCCCTCAGCCACCACCACTCACGCCCTCCCGTACAGACACCACCATGCTCGACCGGTCACGGATGAGACTGGGTCTGCTGCTTGGGCTGGTCCTTCTGACTGCTGTTGGGAGCTCAGGGGAAGACTGTGACCCTGTCGACGTGTACGCGGCGGGCACAGAATCCAAAGATGGCGTCTTGTCGTCTCCCTGCGGTCCTGATAGTCTCCCCATCGCAGTGACACGCGTGATGAGCACCGACGATGAAGGCGGTGCTCGCTTGGTGGCCTTTGGTGATGTTTCCGGTGATGGCATCAACGATGCCGTTGTTGTCTCTAAGCTCGGCAACGGGACCTTGCTCTGGATCCTCAACATCGGCGGCGCCGGAAGGCACTGGGTCACTCAGGCTCCTATCGAGCCGGTTCCGTTTGCTCTCAAGCCCAACCTTATTGCTGCTGACGACGTCGATGGCGATGGAGATTGCGACGCGTTGGTGGTGGCCACTGGGGCACCTACTGTCGTCATGTGGTACGCCAACAACGATGGCGTCGGTGGCGCCTGGTCTGGAGGCAACCCGATTTCCGCCGGCCCTCTCCTCGCAGCAGCCACATACATCGGACTTGCCGACATTGGCAGAGACGGCGACATGGACCTGATTTTCACCGGGCTCGACACTGGCGCCATCGCCTGGCTGGAGCAGACGGCCCCGGGTGTCTTTGCGCCGACGTCGATTACACTTGCGTCTTCGGTGACTCGCCCGGGCAAAGCGCTGATCATCGACGCCGACGACGACGGCTTTGACGACCTTGTCGTTGTTTCTGGTGGCGAGGGCCTCGTTTGGATGCGCAACATGACAGGCGACCCAGTCCTGTCGCTCATTCTCTCTGATGCCGGCACCGACCTTCTCCACACCCGCGTGTTTGGCACATGGATGCTCTGCATGAGCGCAGAGCTGAGTTACTTTTGTCGGCTCGGGCCACTTGGTGTCTTTTCGATTGGCAAGATGCGGTACTTTACCTCAGAGGCTCTGTCGGGAGACGTGGCCATTGGAGCATTCTATGATGACGACTCGATGGGTATTGTGCGGATCAATGTCGACCAGTTGTACATAGTGCGCCAGCACGGACCAAGGGATATTGGCGTGAACTACGCACTGCCACTGCTGCCAAACCAACCAGTTGCTGTCTTCTCGCCCGATGTGACCGGTGACGGCAAGCCTGACGTCGTCGGTCTCGCCGACAACGGCACGGTTGCTCTTGTCATCAACGAGCCGTTTGCTGAGCCGATTTTTGGCCGCTTCCTCTCCGCCATCATCTCGGTCACTACCACGCAGCTGACCCCTGTCGACCTAGATAACGACGGCGATTTTGACTACTTTAGCAGCTTCGCAGACTACATCCCGTACCTTTCAGTCGTGGAGAACTTTGTGGCCACAAAGTTCACCCCGCTCTCGATTGTGGCGCCGTCACCAACCCCGATCCGCGCTGCAGACATGGATGGCGATGGCGACGCCGATGTTGTCTACGGTGTTGCCTCGCTCAACGGCCTCTTTTATCAAGCCAATACTGACGGCCGGACCGCTCTTGCTGACAGCGTGGCGATCGCGTCCGGCCCGACCATGCTCTCGGCGCCTACCGATGTCATGCTCGCCGACATGGACGCTGACGGCGATGTTGACGTCGTTGTTGCCTGCGATAATGCGCCACACCTCATCTGGTTTGCCAACAACGGTGACGCCTCTTTGGGCAGCCGGATAGTCGTCGCAACCTTTGCCTCGGGCGTCAAGGCTATTCGAGTTACCGACATCGACGATGATGGCGATCCAGACATCGTCTATGCACGCGGCAGCGCCGTCGGCGTCGCCACTAACTCCAATGGCGCCGGTACGTCGTGGACAACCGCTTCGCGATCGGTTGGCTCCGGCGCTCTCACCCGTATCCAGATCGGGGACATTGACAACGACGGCGACGTTGACGTCGCTTACCTCGAGGCAGGCGGTAATCTCGGCTGGCTGGCCAATACGGCCGGCGTGCTCGGTACACCGTTCGTTGTCGCCTCGGGCCTCACGCCCATGCCGCCGCAGCTTGAGCTCGTGTACTTTGATCGCGATGACACACTCGACCTCGTCACCCTGGCCTCGCCTACCTCGTTTGGAGTTTGGTACAACGCAGACGGAAGCGGCTCGTTTGCGGGCGGTATGACACTACTCGGCGCCAAGATCGGGTCGGCTGTTGATGGCTTTTTTGTCCGCGATGTTGATGCCAGCGGGACAGCCGACATTACCGCTCACGAAGCTGATGGCAACGTCTACGTCTACGTCCAGAACGATATCTCTCCTTTCGATGTGTGGAAGCCGACGATGTATGCCGCCGACTCGCCGCGCGTCCGTGGCCTCCTTAACTCGCCGTTCTCGCCGTGTGCTTCGTTTGCTTTTGGCGCCGGCAAGACTGTCCGATGCCTCGCTGACATTGCGGCTGTGACAAGTAACCAGTGTGTTCGGAACACAGCAATTGTGCCGGCTGGTACCTACACAGGCTGCCGGACAACAGCACACTACCTGATCAAGCGCGCGGTCGAGTTGGCAGCTGACGGCGCTCCCGGCAGCGTGGTCGTCGATTGCGAGCCGACACGTGGTGTGCTGTGGCATGTGACTCAGCTCGACAGCAGTTTTCTGTACTCGGTCGGCGGCCTACGGCTATCGGGCTTTGATATCCGCGGCATGGGCACATGTACCGACGTTGACAACGGGGGGCCTGGCCTGCTTGCGTCGACCAGCGGCGCGTACATCGAGCTCAACGCCACCGTTCTCTCTGGCTCGGACACTTCGCCCATCATCGGTCGCAAGGTGACCATCGGCAGTGGCGGTGGCGCAGTCATGGTCTCAAAAGCTGCCCGCTTTGCCGCCTACGGCTCCCAAGTCCGTGACAACTCTGCCGGCGCCGGAAACCCCGGCGGCGCCATCTACGCGGCCGATGCAAGTACTGTATGCATCATGGACAACTCGCTCGTCTCGGGCAATGTGGCGCCTCAGGCAAGCGGCGGCGCCATTGCAGCCCTTTCCAACTCGGTTGTTGTCGTCGGAACTGGCGCAGCCGTCGCCGATAACACTGCGGCTCGACTCGGCGGGGGCGTCTACCTCGCTACCAGCTCGGTGACGCTGAGCGCGAGTGGAACGTCCGCGCCAACACCGCCGAGCTGTCCGGTGGCGGCATTGCTGCGGTTGCGCGGTCGACGGTCACGCTCAACAACGGGCTCGTTGAGGGCAACAGCGCGCGCGGCTCGGGAGGTGGCTTGTTTGTCTCGTCCGAGACAGGCGTCACCATCTTTGGCGGCTCAAGATTTGCCCGCAACTCAGCGCTTGGCGCTGGCGGCGCTTTGGCGCTCGTCACCCCGCTCGCTGCGACGGTCTCGCTCTCGGGCACCGAGCTTGCTGGCAACTCGGCACCACTCGGTGCCGGCGTCGCGGCGGTGTCGAGCACGCTGTTCAACGACGTGATTGTTGTCCGGTCGTCGGTCGACTTTCCGCGGACCGCTGGCGATCCACCGTCAGACCTGGCGACTTCCTCGGCGGATGTCGCGCTCTCCAACGTGGTCTTTTCCAGCAACACTGCTGCCCGCTACGGTAGCGCGCTTGTGGCTTGCGGCGTGTCGGTCAGCATCTCTGGAGCAGGCTCGTCGTTTGGCAGTGACGACGTCATGGTCTGTCTCCCGCCATCGCTTGACGACAGCGGCTTTGTGCCGGACAGACAGTCACCGGCGGGCTTGCCGTGGCTCTGGTTTGACAGTGAGGCGTGGACTAGCTCCGGTGTCAGCGCGCACGTGGCCACGCCGCCGGCGAGGCTGGCATGGTCGCAGCGCCCGGACCCAGTGCTCCAGCCAGGCAATCCAATTGCGGGCAGTGTTGTCGTGGCCGACTGGTTTGGCGCCGGTATTGTCGACACCCGGCTGCAAGTCATGGTTGAGTTGGCGGCTGCATCGGCGGCCGCAGGTGTGGGCGCCAGCGGCCAGGACTTGGTCACCGTCTCGAGTACCTCTGTCCCGCTCCCACCGCTCGTCCTCCGAGTCGTAGAGCCAGGCATTCTTCCGGTGGCAGGCACACACGTGGTCGTCAGCGTTGCGGACGAGTCTGGCGAGCAGAGCGGAGCGCCTGAGTTGGCCCTTGACTCTGTCTTCGACATGGGCCTCTGCTCCATCGGCCGCGGTGGTGCCGTCGACGAGAACGGCTTTGGATGTGTTTTCTGCGACGGGGAGACGTTCTCGGATGAGGTTTCGGCCGCGCCGTGCTCAACCTGCCCGACCAACTCGGTGGTGGCATCGGTGAACGGAAGTGCGAGCGAGTGCGCGTGCGTTCGTGGCTATTACGCCACCTCTGCTACCCTTTGCAGCGCCTGCCCCGACGGAGCGATCTGCGTTGGTGGCAAGGCACCGCCGGTGGCAGCCCCCGGCTTTACCTCTGGCGACGCGGCAACGCTCTTCCTGCCGTGCCCGACTTCCGAAGCGTGTGCCGGTGGTGGCGCGTGCGCCCCGGGCTACACCGCGCGGCTCTGCGCCGAGTGTGCCAAAGGCTACTACGCACTCAACGGCAAGTGCTTCAAATGCAAGACTGGTGTCAACACCCTGGTTGTAGTCGTCATGGTCGTTGGCTGCCTCGCCGTCACGGCCGTCCTCCTCGCGTTCAACCTCGCGGAGAGCGTGAGCTACAAGTTTGCGGCGGCGATGATCGGTCTCAACGGTCTCCAGATCACGGCTCTATACGGCAAGCTCGACTTTGACTGGGGCGCGTTTGCCGACGTCTACTTTGATGTTGCCTCGAGCCTCAACCTCAACTTCGAGCTGACGAGCCCCGAGTGCAGCGTGGTCCCCGGAACCGACGTCTGGGTCCTCAAGTTCTTGCTCACGCTTGCGCTCCCGATCCTTGCTGCCGCTGTTGTCCTTTTTGTCTCTGGCGTCTTTATGGGACTCTCGTTCATCTCTGCGCCATGGCTCTCGCAGTTTATTCCAGCGCAAGTCCGTAACGCCGCAGCGCGATGCTGGTGGCAGCTGCTAGTGCTGATGTACATGCCGCTGGTGGCGGGTGCGTTCTCACTTTTTGGCTGTCGCAAGGACGCGTCGGGCCGGTGGGTGCTGAGCGCGGCGCCGGCGCGGTCGTGCTACACCCCGACCTGGTGGAGCCTGTTTGTGTTTGGCGCCGCGGGCGTGGTCGGCTACGGCTTTGGTCTCCCGGCAAGTGTGGTGTACATTCTGCATCGCGAGCGGAAGCAGCTCGAGTCGAGCGTCTTTGTTCTACGGTATGGCTTTCTTGTCGGGCGGTTTGTGGAAGACGCCTGGTGGTTTGAAGCGGCCATCATGGGCCGCAAACTCGGAGTTGTTCTGTCGATGGCGCTGTTCTGGGCCGACACCACAAAGGCGTACGCGAGCGTGTGCGTCCTGGTGGGCTCATTCCTCGACCTTGCCACCCGCGCGCCATACGCCTCGAGGCTCCACAACTGGATGGCGTGGGTTGTCCTCGCCTCGGTCATCGTTGTCCTCCACGCCGGCACCCTCACCAACAAGCCACTTCGAACAGGAGGTGTGGTCCTCGGCCTTGTGGTTAACCTCTTTGCCATCGTCATCGGCAACATGATTGACATTGTGCGGCTGCAGCGCGAGGAAAAGGAAACCATGGACAACGAATTCTACGTCAGTGGCAACTTTAGCAACAACGCCGTCGAGTCACGGATGGGCCTTCGCCAGAGCGTCACCGGTCTCGACGTCCGCTCCGTCGGCACCGACATCGAGATGCAAGACGTCGGCCTCCATGCCCTCGTGTCCGGCACCACGCTCGACTCGTCAGACTCGATGTTCCACACAACCAACCTCGATTCGGTTGCGATCGATGACACCGCGCCCAGCCTCGGCTCTGTCGCGCTCCCGTCCTCGCGCCCGGCTCGGCCGGACCGCAAGCCATCGAATGTGCCCGACCATGTTCCACCGCGCCCTACGCACAAGCCATCACGCCCTGCGGTCGGAGCACGTGCCGCACCTGTTCGCCCTGCCCGTCCCGCGCGGCCGCTGCGCATCGAGCCACCGCATCCAGATCGCGAGAACTAGCCTTACCCGAGGTACAAGCAAACACACACTGTGAACCAGACCATGCTTTTATCCGACTTGGCCCAACACGCCGAGTCCCAACTCGCCGAGTCCGCCACCACTTCTCGTCGTTTGGCAGCATGGCGAGCGAGCGGCACCACCCTGGCCTCCCTGGCATCACCCATGTCACCGACACCTCTGGCCAGCTCATTTCCACCGCCTCTTTGACCGACAAGACAGTTGCGCTCTACTTTAGCGCTCATTGGTGGTATGTGTACTGCCCCCCCCCCCCCCCCAACCCCCAACCCCCAACCCCCTGCACCTTCCAGCTCCGGGTGCTGCCACTTGGTCACACAGGTCGCCATTTGCGACATGCACAATTCAATGGAATGGAACGCTACTTCAGCACTGCCTCCCCCCCCCCCGCTCCCCTTCTCTCCCCTCCCCTCCTCCCCTCCCTCCCTCCCTCCCTCCCTTTCTTCCTCATATTCTGCCTTTCCCGCCTCCTCTTCCTCAGCCTCCATACACCCCCCCCCCCCCCCCGCCACCCCTCCCCACTCACACCCCGCACTCGATCGATCAACCCAGCCCTCCTTGCCAGCGTTTCACGCCACGCCTGATCTCGTTTGTGCAGGCCCACGCAGGTCGACTCGATGTTGAAGTTGTGTTTGTCTCGTCGGACAAGGACATGCTGGCATACCTGGCGTACTACCAGACCATGATTCGCTTTCTGGCAGTTCCGTATGATCCATCTGTAACCGACGCCCTCTCACGGCACTACAACGTGTCCGGCATTCCCACGCTCATTCTGCTCAAGCCGCAGCCACAGGAAGCCATGGTGGTTGTCGGCGATCCGGTGCCTCCGCTCTCGCAGCTAGTTCTCACGCGGTCGGGCGTCGACGCGGTCTCGCGCGATCCAGCCGGAGAGGGCTTTCCTTGGCCGGAGATCCACTACGTGCTCGAGGACCTCGGGCTTGAGGCACCGCTGTGGCGGACCGACGCTTTCTTTGGTGCTTTTGGTGACCCGTACCTTGACGGCTTTGGCGGCCTCTCTTCGTCGTCGTACGTCACGTCCAAGGTCTTCTCCATCCTCATCCGCCAGCTTCTCGACTCGATCCAGGCCTCAGGTGGCAAGGCCGCGGCGTCATCTCAAGTCTCGGCCGCAGTCCTCGACGCGGCTTCGGCAGTCGGCCCGCTGGAAAAGGTTCTTGACCTGCTCGCAACATTTGAGTCTCTCTCGGAGCCGGTGCTCAAGACCCGCTCCGAGTACGAGAATCCCGGCCAGCTGCTGCCGGTGCTCCAGGCGTGGGCGGCGCCGATTGCGGCGCTCCAGCCGGGGGACACACTTCTGGTGCCCGGCGGTTGGGTCGAGCCGCGCGGCGTTCACTGCCTGGCGCACATGATCATTGCCAACGCCGACTCGTCGTTCGACTTTGTCACCTTTAACACCTCGGTCGACGAGGGCCTCAAGTACCACCCGTCGTCGGCAGCCTTTCCGCCCAAGATCAAGTTCCGGTCTGCGCTGCGGCTGCGGAGCATTCCGCGCGAGCGCATGCTCGACCCGGTCTGGTGGGCCATGCTCATCAAGATGCAGGTAGCACAGATCATCTCCAACCGCGCCGAGGTCCTCTACGACGTGCTCCTGCCGTGGCTCGCTGGATCCTCGCTGCCGTCGGCCATGGCCTCGTCGCAGGTCGAAGACGACCCGCACGGCGAGTGGCTTGCGCCGCAGCGCGCCAAGCTCTCGCACTATGGCTGCCTGCTTGAGGCTATCCGCTACACGCTCGCGTATGCTGGCATGCCGCGCCCGCAGCTCCGCACCGTCCTCTTTGCGCTCCGGGTCGGCTTTGTCAACCTCCTTGCCTCGGATGTCGGTGCCGTCGACCTCATTCACTCGTCCGAGCGCGCGCTGGTGAGCATGGCCACTCGCCAGCTTGCCTACGCTGCGGTCAAGGAGGTCCGCGCCGGCTTTGCCGAGCCGAGTTTCCAGGCGAGCATGCTTGCAGCGCTCTCGTCGCTCGACGCCGCGCTCGCCCGCGTCCCGGCCTTTGGCCTCCCCGAGGGCGGCCTCCCGCCACAGCTTGCCATGGGAACCGCTGCCGCGTACAGCCCCTACCCGGGGTTTGCCTTTCTCAAGGCCCGTGGCGAGGACTCGTACGCCGGGCCGGCCAAGCCCGAGTCACCGGCGCCGCCGTTTGACTTTCTCGATCTCCCGCCGCGTGCCGTCGACTTTGCCACCGCCCTCTCCATGGTTCAAAAGGTGCTTGCCCTGGTGGAGACGCTGATGAACCACGCGCGTGCTGGCCACACCTCGGGACCCATCCCGCGGCACTACGAAGTCATCGCGGTCGTCAACTCACTTGTCCTCGACATGCTCCCCATGCCGCAGGCGCCAGCCTCGGGCATCACCTGCATTTACACCGGCGGCGCGGTCCGCCCGCCGCAGGCTGCCCAGCTCGCCTTTCTCGCCGCCATCTACGAGCTCACCGCCGCCTTTACCTCGGCGTGGCAGTCAGTCAAGCGGCCGTCGCGGTCGGCCGACTCGGAGCGCGCGCTGGTTGCTGGCGCGCTCCTCGCCCTCTTTGACGCCGGCGCCCGCATCAAGTGTGCCGGCAAGCCGCTCATTCTCTCGCGGCTCCTCACCAACGCCGGAGGCTTCCACCTCTCGACCGAGGTTGGGTGCGAGACCGCCACGCTCTCGTATGAGCGGCTCTCGTCAATGGCCCAGCTCGACAACGCACCGCGACTCGCGGCTGTCCGCTCCGACGTCCTTGCCTACCTCGACGCCATCCAGACCACGACCGACCGTGTCCTGTTCAACTGGCCGCAGGAGGCCGGGACGAGGACGCTGCAAGTGCAAAAGACCTCGCCAACCATGGACTTTGTCCGCCTCTACATCACTCTCAAGGGCTTCCGTCTCACCGACGACCCACGCGAGACCGAGATGCAGGCGCTCTGCCGCTGGACCTTCTTTGACCTCGCCAAGGAGGAGCCGCTCTACGGCTACGCTCGCGACATGGTCGTCATGTTCAAGTTCCTCGCCACCATGGAGTCGGAGCTTGCCGACCGTAAGCTCCGCAAGCGTGCTGTCCACAAGCGCCACGAGATGTGGCAGATCATGTACGAGTCAGAGTGGGAGGCCAAGCGCGGCTCGTCGCTCGAGCGGCTCCGCTTCAAGGTGGAGGGCATGAATGGCGACCAGACCACGGCCTTTGTGCTCATGTCCGGCTTTGGCCGCCCCGTCGTCATCTACGGCGACGGCCTCATCACCCAGTCGCCCACCGACGCCGAGGCCTACCTCGGCCTGCCCGACCCGTCCGAAGACGACGTTCTCCACTGCGACAACCTACCGTCGTTTGACGACGTCCTGCCCGATGAGGACTCGGAGGCGCTTATGTCGTACCTCACCACCCAGTACCTCCGCATCCCCCTTGTGGTCGGCTTTTTCGCCACCCGCGACCGCCTCTCGTACCTCTTCCACGCCGGCCTCCGTGACGTTCTCCGCGGCGCAGTCTTTGAGCTCGGCTCGTGGTGTCCGCCGTGGCTCCAGCTGCCGCTCGACTCGGTCCCAGCCCGCCGCGCGGTGACCAACCGCGACCCGCTCTCGTGCGCCACCGGCCTCCTCCTCAACGAGCTCACCTTTTCGCCCGGCTCGGTCCTCGACCCGCTCCTCGACATGATGGACGCCGTCGCCGACATTCCGGTCAACTCGGTCCACTCGCTCAACGCCACCCTCTTCCTCTTTGCCCTCGAGCTCGGTGTCGGCATCGAGGCGTACATGACGTCAGCGGCTGCGAGCCTTGCGTCGTCCACCGCCGCCGCCGCTGAACTCAAGTCGCTCACGGCTGCCGACCTCGACGCCTACCGCGCCCGCCTCCGCTCTTTTTGCAGGAGACCTGCCGCTCGCGGCTCCTCCTCTGGCTCGCCGAGGCCGAGGCCGAGGACAACATGCCCACCGTCAACATGTGCCATGCCTACCTCGCCCTCATCTGGCGCAACGTACTCCCGCACGAGCTCACGCCCGAAATCGTCTCGCTCCTTCTGGGGCACCTCGCCTTTGTCCGCCACTGGCACGAGTTTGGCTCTTCGCCCAAGGCCGCTTCTGACACCGCCGAGCTCGAGCCATGGGAGCGCCTCAAGCGAGTCCTCCGCGCGCACGGCATTCCCACCGACCGTCTCTCGCAGTCGTCGCTGCCGGGTGTTCGTGGCTCGCTCGAACGCGTCCTCATCCTCCAGATCGGCCGCGACTCGGTCCGCATTGACTTGCGCCCCAAGGACACCGAGACCCTGCCGCCGCCGGCAGACGTGCCCGAGTACGAGCTCTTCACCATGCTCCACGAGCAGCGCCCGGCGCTCCTCGCCTTTCTGGCTGCCGCTGAGCAGGACGCGCTCGACTCGGTCATGAGCGAGGTTGTCCGCATTGCGCTCCGCGGCGACGACCGCGCCTCACTCCGCGGCTGGGCCCCGCTCGAGGCCGCCGACGCCCGTCGCGGCATGTACGCCGCCGGTGGTGGCGAAGTCGTTGTCGACGTGCAGACCGCGGAAATCCAGTACAAGGGCAACATGCTCCGTGCCCTTCCGGCCTCCATCTCCGAGTTTGACGACTACCGCTCGGTATTTGGCGACGAGCGCTACCACTGCGGCCTTGTTTCCCGCCAGCAGCACCGCCTGTGGCTCTCGCTCGTCGGCCTCGCCACACACGTCAAGGAGTGGACCAAGCCGACAAACGAAGACCAGGGCGTCGGCCAGCCGCTGCCGCTGGACTCGGCCTCCACACCGCCCGATCTCTCTTCCGGGCTCGTCTATGCTGGCGTCACGTACAACCGCAAGTTCCCCACCAAGCTCCCGTCTGAAGCCTGGGTTGTCGCCCTCCTCAATCCAGTCCTCCAGGTCCACCGCAACGACGACGCCGTTCTCCTCCTTCCTGCGACGCTCACGCCCGCCGACGCCACCCTTGTCACCCTCATCACATGGTACGTCAATGAGGACACCGGCGACATTACCTACAAGCTCGTCCGCGTTCTCCGTCATCACCAGGTTGTCCACGTCTACGACCTCATCTCACACGGCCGCAAGCTCTATCCCTCGCTGGTGTACTCGTCCAACTACGTCCGTGCCCTGCACTCGCTCCCGCTCCCGCCACCCGAGTCGGCCAAGATTGTGCCCGACGCCGTCCGCCATCAGCGCGGTGCCATCTGGAAGAACGCCCCGCTCGAGACCTCGCTCGTCATTGAGCGCGAAAACGCCGCTCTCGGCGGCCGCGAGATGTATCTCCCGCCACGCGTGCTCCGCGGTTCGCTCCCGGGCGTCCTCCTCACACACTACAAGTTCTGGCAAGGCGACGATGATGTCATTCGCGGCTACCCGCTCGACGGCGACTCATCGTGGTTCTCACAGGCGATCGTGGTTGTCCTGACTCCCTCAGCCGACCGTGCCCGCGGCGCCGTCCCGCCCTGCGACCTCGACTCGCTCGCTTCGCTCCCCTGGATGGGCACTGTCGTCAAGCTGCGCAAGGGCATGGCCCATCCGCGCATCCCGCGCCTTGCCCAGCCCGAGGCTGCGCTGGCTACCGCTCCGCGCGACGGAACCGGTGCGCCGCAGGCTGCGGCGGCGTCGTCTGGTGCAGGGACGTCCGATCCGTCCAACGCACCGCACCAGGGCCTCGACCCAGAGCTTGTGGCGTCGGTCGTGAGCTCGCTGGGTGCGCTTGGCGTCGCTCCTCCGCTCGCCAAGTACGCGCTCTCGGTGATCGGCTCATCAGGCTCGGGCTCGTTTGAAACGCTCCTCGCCCGGGCTGTCAACTGGGCCATGGACAACTCAGACATTGAGATCCCGCCGGCGTTCTTTGATGACACCGAGTCAGCCGACGACGTCGACGCTGTCCCGCCGACCCCGCTGGCTCGCTCCGACTCGACCCTTGAAGCCTTCCTCCGCCTCTCGAACGATGGCGCGTTTCCGGAGCCTGCCATCGAGTATGCGCTCGAGCTGTACTCGCAGGACATCGACCTCGCCCAGGCGTGGCTGTCTGACCCGGCCAACGCCGAGTTGGTCGACGCCCTTGGTCGCGGCGAGGACATTGCCGCGCTCAGTAACTCGCCGTCAATGGACGAGGCTGTCCAGGGTGCTCTCACCCTGCTCAACATGGTGTACTTTCGTCTCAAGTGCCTGCTGCCGCTGATGCCGGCGCAGACTCGGTCCTTGTCCGCCTCGCCGACGTGCTCTCGCGGCTCGAGGAGCTCTCGCACGTGCTGGTGTGGACCTCGTCATCGGCGCCGGCGTCGGCAGCTACGGCCGCGGCCGCGGCGTGCGTGGCCGCGTCCGAAGAGCCGTCCGACGTCGTGGCGACGACGCTGACCGACGCAGTTGTGCTCCTCTCGGGCGCGACAGTCACCATCTCGTTGGTTGAGCTTCCGCGGCTTGGTGCCCGGTTCCAGCCGCGACTCGATGCTGCCGGCAAGGTCAAGCTCTTTGCCCTTGACCAAGCTGGGTGGTGGATTGCAGACCTCGACCCTGCTGCCGAGCCGCTGCTCGACAAGCTACTGGTCGGCATTCCTCACGGGGTTGTGCTGGAGAACGCGTCGGGCGAGCTGAGGGTCATGGTCCCCAACTGCGACTTTTCGCGGCCGCCCATTGCACCGTTTTCGACCGAGCTTGACCTCAACCGGGCGAGCTCGGCGTGGCTCGCACGCGCGCCGACGCGATACTACCTCTACTCGGTCCACACGACGCGTACATTCCTCCACGCACCGTCGGTTGCGGCCACTTTTTATCTCATTCTCCTCCGCTTCGCCGCCCGCGACTACGAGGCCGTCTTTCGGCTCTCCGAGACCTGCCAAGTCGACGTGCCGTTTACCTCTGAAGAGGACCGCGTCTTCCAACTCCTCGGCGAGCTGGGCTCGGACCTCACGCCCGACGCGGTGGCGTGCCGACTCAAGCTCTCGCTCTGTGTCCTGCTCGGTGGCAACCAGCTGCCGTGGAAGCTCTCGGACCAGTACGACAAGTACCTCTCGCGTCTCTCGCATGTCTCGGCCGGCTGCCGGCTCGAGAGCGAGGAGGAGGCCGAGCTGCTGCCGTTCATCGAGGCTGAAGAGGAGACGCCGCTACTGGTCGGCAACCGGATGACGTACCTGACCGGCGCCGCCGATGGCGCCACTGCAGTCTCGCTCTCGTCGAGGGTGGTCAAGCGCGGCGGCGACGTGTGGCGCCTGGCACAGGCTCGCCAGCCGGTCCTCTACTCGATGCACCACACCACCATGTCAACCGTCTACTACGCCATGCCGGCCAATCCGGTTCTCGACGACACCGGTGTGCTCTCGTTCATGGAAGCCCTGGAGCAGGAGGAAGAGTCGGGCTCGACCGGCAAGGTCGGCTTCCTCGGCCTCTACGACTTGCTCCACCCCGACTCGCCAGCCAGCGCGCGGCTGCTCGGCGTTGACGTGACCCGCTCGCTTGGCGAGCTGCAGACGCGGCTGTATGTGACCCGAACCTCGCGGTGGGCGGGAACGAGGGCGTCCGCGGCAACGCGGTGACCTCAGTCTCATTCCACAACGCACAGCTAGCGGCGCTCATCAACTTTCCGTACGTTGCCTGGCCGAGTGTTCCGCGCGTCTCGCCTCTGCCGCGCATGCTGGTGCGCGGCGTCGAGATCTCGTGCGTCGACCAGGAGCTGCCGCAGATGGCGTCGGCAGCCGAGCTGCTGCGCAACTTTTTCAACGAGCTCTTTGTCACGCTCCAGTCGCTTGTCTCGGCGCCGTTCTTTGACGACGCCAAGGCGCGCCTCGCCGAGTCTGCCGAGCTCGAGGCGGTCCTCGCTGCGCCGCGCGAGACGATGCACACCATCAGCGAGATTGCTGTTCGTGCCGCTGGAAGCCTCTCGTCCGGCGCGCAGGCCGGCTCGGTCTTCCCGCGCGTCGCCAACCACGGGTGTGACGTGCGGCGGCTGGCTCCATTCACCCGCAGCGGCCTCGATGTGAGCGCAGCCGATCTGGCCGCCTTTGCCACCCGCCCGCTGTCGGTCCTGGACCTGGATGCGTTTGTGACCTTTGACGAGCCGCAGGACGCGCCAACCGGCGCGCTGCCGTTTGATCTCTCGCCGCATCCTGCTGCCAAGTCGCATGTGGCCGGTCTCATTCTCTCGCGGCTCGACGACGACGTGACGACGTTCAAAGCCCAGGTCGATGCCTCGCGCGTCCCGCGCATTGTCGGCCTCGGCTCGGCCGACGTTGATGAGCTGCTGAGTGCGGCCGATGGCGCCGCAGGCGATGCGGCGCGCGACACTGCGCTAGCCGCGCTGGGTAAGGTTGCTGCGACGCTCGAGAGCCTGCTGTGCGAGCTGCGCGAGCTTGCTGCCTCTGACGCGACGTTCATCGCCGATGCGCTGGCCGTGGTGCTCGCAGAGGCGGTGGCAGTGCCGCCTGGCGCCGATGGTGCGACCGAGTTTGAGCTGCTCCGGCTCCACGGGGCGCGGACGGAGCTCATTTTTGACCATGTTACGTGCACGCTGCTCTCGGACGACGCAGCGGTCGAGCTGCGAGCGGTCAACCCGTTCCTGGGCGACGACGGCGTGGCCACCATTTTGGAGCTGACGCAGGCAACGCTGCTGCACGCCACGCGGGTGGCACATGTCAACCGGGTGGTGGCTGCGGCGACGCAGGTCCAGGCCACACTGGCCAGCCTCACCAAGCGGGTGCAGACCGGCGCTGGCGCCGACGCAGCCTTTGCGTCCAAGGTCCAGTACGAGGTGAGCAACCTAGGCGAGCTGCTGGTGTGCGAGCGCCACTATGGTGGTGTCGAGTCGGGGAGCGGGGCGTTCTCGTATGACCCGCGGTTCCTTGTCTTTGAGTACATCTTTGACATTCTGCTCCGCCAGCGGCAGGTGGAGATGGTCAACGACTTTGTGGCGGCGTCGCGCTCCGAGAGCCACGCAATGGTCCAGCAGATGATCATGGGCGCAGGCAAGACGACCGTCATTGGCCCGCTGCTGGCGCTCATTCTTGCCGACGGCAAGCAGCTGGTCATGCAGGTGGTGCCGACGGCGCTGCTGGAGATGTCGCGGAACGTGATGCGGTCGCGGTTCACGGCCATTGTGCCGAAGCGGGTCTACACCTTTACGTACGACCGCTCGGAGCCGGACTCGGCTGTCTCGGTCGGCGAGCTGTGGAAGAAGCTCGACGCCGCCCGCCGCCGCCGGGCGGTTGTCTGCACCACGCCCGACGCTATCAAGTCGCTCATGCTCAAGTACGTGGAGCAGCTGCACTCGCTCGAGACGCCGCACTACCTCCTCACATCGGGCCGCGCCCAGTCGTCGGAGCTCTCAACGCTCGACTTGCTTGACGTTGTCGTTGCTGACGGTGGGGTCTCGGACGAGGTGGCGGCGCTGGCTGATGCTGACGCGGCCGATGAGGGAAGTGCCGCGGCGCCGGGTACGCTCGAGGCGCTGGCCGAGGGCCGCGCGTACTCGGAGCTGGCGGCGCGGCTTGGCGGGGTGCAGCGGAACGAGCGCAAGCTTGCGCAGCTCATGGCCAAGCTTCATCTGCGGTCGGACGCGTCGGACGCGCTCGTCAAGATCATGAACCTCTGGTCCGAGGGTGTGCTGATGATGGACGAAGTCGACGTCCTCCTCCACCCGCTCAAGTCAGAGCTCAACTATCCGATCGGCGAAAAGTACCCGATCGACATGGAGGGCGCGCGGTGGGACCTTCCCATCCACCTCCTCGACCTGGTCTTTTCACACAAGCGGGGTGAGCTGTTTGAGGCTGTCGAGGCGGAGACTGAAAAGGCACTCGGGGTGTCGGTGGCGAGCGTGCAGGGCGCGCTGGAAGCGGCGCTGGACGCCGGCTACACCGAGCACAATTTGCAGCGGTCGCCGCACCTTGCGCTGATGGACGTCGACTACTACCACGCGCGCCTCAAGCCAATCCTCGCCCAGTGGGCGCTGTTCTGGGTGCGGGAGCGGGCGCTCGGCTCGCTGGCCTCGGTGGAGCACGAGGCGCTGCTGGCCTACATGAGCGGCGAGCTCGAGGGCCCCGCCGCACAGGACCTTGCCGGCGAGCACGGAACCCTCGGCCAGCTTCTGCCTGTGGACATGAAGCTGCTCAATCTGGCCAAGGACTGGCTCACCTCGTTCCTCCCGCACGTCCTCTCCAAGGTCGACCGCGTTTCGTACGGCATTCTCTCGCCGGTGGACCTCGCGCGGTGTGATCCGCGGATGCCCAAGTCGCGGCGGCTGACTGCGGTGCCGTTTGTGGGCAAGGACGTGCCGTCGCGGTCGTCCGAGTTTGCGCAGCCGGACGTAGTCATTGGCCTCACCATCCTGGCGTACCGGTACGAGGGGTGCGGAAGAGCGATTTGCGGCGTGTAGTGGAGCAGCTGAAGAAGGACTTTGGCCAGGAGATTGGCCCGCCGGCGGAGCGGCCGTCGTCGGTCCTCTTCTCATCGTGGCTGGCGGCGGCCAAGGAGCGGAGCGCGGCCGCAGACGAGATGGGCGTTCCACTGACGCCGGTCTCGCCATCGGGGAGCTTTGCGGCGGCGTTTGGGCCGGGCAGCGAGGCGGCCAAGACGGCTGAGGCCGACCCAGAGACTGGCGTCTTTCCGCTCCCGCTCTTCCAGCCAAACGACCCGCAGCAGCTTGACCGGCTCTACCGCATCATCAAGCGGCACCCGCCGTTCATTCACTACTACCTGCGGCGGCAGGTCTTCCCGCCGTGCATGAACTTCCGCAAGGTCAAGATCTCTGCTTCGGGGCAGGAGCTCGGGTCGAACATCCTGTTTGGGACCCGGCTCGGGTTCTCGGGCACGCCGTCGAACCTGATGCCCGCCGATCTCGGGCGGTGCATGTACGAGGCCGGCTCTGACGGCAAGATCCTGCACGTCCTCACCTCGCCGGGCGTGGTCTCGGTCGAGGTCAAGGGCGATGCATGGACGGCCAAGTCGATTCTGCGCGATGTGGCGGCCATGGAGCCGCCTGCTCATGCGCTCATTGACACCGGCGCGCTCATCACCGGCATGGACAACGAGGCTGTGGCCCGGTACCTGCTGGCATACCTGCCCGAGTGGATGGAGGGTGTGGTGTACCTCGACCGCAACGACAAGCAGATGATTCTGCTGCGGAGCGGCGGGCCGGGCGTCCCGCTCTCGCAGTGCGGTGTCTCGCTCGACAAGCGGTTCACCTTTTATGACCAGGTCCACACCACAGGCATGGACATCAAGCAGACCCCCAACGCGCAGGCGCTGCTCACCATCGGCAAGGACATGACTTTCCGCGACTATGCGCAGGGCGCGTACCGGATGCGCGGTATCGGTCGCGGACAAACCATCCAGCTCGTGGTCATTCCCGAGGTGGCCAACAAGATTGCGGAGGATCTCAACGCGATCGGCGGCGCGCGCTCGGGCGCGCTCGAGCTCGACGTCGCCGCCTGGCTGTTGGTCAACTCGATGCGGGCCGAGAGTCTGCAGTTTATCCAGCTCTGCCTCCAGGAGCTGCACACGGTGTGGCGGAAGCATGGGCTGGCGGCGCTCCGGGCCGACTCTGCTGCCAACACAGCGCGCGACGTCGACGGGCGGCTGACGCGGTTCCTGGCGTGTGACGACGACGGCGAGGAGGCGAGCGTGAGCAAGGCGTACCTTCGCGGAGCCATCGACAAGTTCCGCGAGCCTGTCGAGTTTGCGGTGGACGACTCGGTGCCTGTGGCGCAGCGGTTCGAAGAGGTGTTGGACGAGCTAGTGGCAGGCAACGCGGACCTGACCCAGCCCGGCGACGAGGAGGTGCTGGCGGCCATCCGGACCAAGGCGGCACAGGTCTCGAGCGTCACGCTCGCTGAGGTCCAGTCGGGGCGGTCTGCGCTCGACTCGGAGGTTGTCAATGAGAACGAGCAGGAGGCCGAGCAGGAACAGCAGAAGGAGAAGGATGTGGAGAAGCAGAAGGAGCGCGAGATTGCGTACTCGCGCGACGACGAGTCGCAGAATCCGTGGCTGGTCGAGCTCCTCGGGCGGTCGCCGGACGAGCACGGCGCCGGTGAGGTGGCGTTCTACCCGTTCTCGGCCTTCCGGGTCCACGAGGACCACGCCCCGCTTGCCTTCCCGTCGAACATGCTGCTCTCGGACAACTTTTTCCGCCCGTCATGGGTCGGACTTGGTGAGCGGCGGCTCAAGAACGTGACCGTGCTTGTCGAGTGGGTGCCGGACCTGGAGCGTGCGCCGGACGAGCGGTACATGGTGGCGGTCTCGCTCGCCGAGGCCAGACCCTCCACCGGGTTCTCCACCGGATGCTAGTGAGCAGCGCCGAGAGCGATGCGCTGTACGCACCGCTGGCGCGGACAGGGCTCTCGCTGGTCACCCTCGACGGGCTCGTCCTCAACCGGACGCTCAACCTGCGGCAGCAGGCCGAGAGCGCGCGCGGTGTGGCCGTCGGCTGCTCCGACGTAACCGCGAGCGTGCAGCACGTGGCCATGGTCTGCCTCAAGTGGATCAACAACGCCATGTTCTACTCGGACGCTGAGCTCGAGACGCTCGCCGAGGGCCTCGTCCGCGCCGACGAGTCGGAGCGGCTGGCGTTCTTTGAGACGCTGCTGCGGTACCGGCGGCGCGAGCGCATGTTCTGGGCCGACACGCCGGTGGCCAAGGTCTTTACCCGCCGCGAGGAGTGGGGCATGCTCAAGGCGCGGGCGCTCGTTGTCGAGCTCACCTCGGCCATGCAGCGGAAGCGCATGTACCTCCGCGTCGCCTTCCGCAAGTTTGACGCCGACGCAGACGGGTACATCACCCAGGATGAGGTCATGCGCGCGTTCTCGTACCTCAAGCTCGGGTTCTCCTCGGCAGATGCCATCCAGCTCTTCCACATCCTCGATCTCGGGACCAACATCTCGCTCTCGTTCGACGAGTTTGTCACCAAGTTTGCCAAGCTCACACTCGCCGACGTCCTCGCCGCCGAGTCCGAGGCCATCGAGCGATTCCGCGCCGCACAAACCCGCGCGTCGGACCCGTCGCGCATCCGCTGGCGCTGCGCAGGCTGCTCCGCCATGTCGCCCGGCGACCGCATTCAGTGCCTAGAGTGTGGCCGCTCACACGAGATGCAAGCCAGCGCCCTCCAGAACTACTGGGTCTGCGGCCATTGCACGTACTCCAACTCGATGTCTAAGAACTTCTGCGACATGTGTGACTACGGCCATGTCGAGGATTCGCCGTGAGCCGATGGCTGTGCCTCACTCAGCAGGGTTAAACTAGGTTCTCGGAATAGAGCTGCCGGCGGCAACAAAAAGGGGATAACTCTTGCTCGGGAGCCGATTGGCGCCGTCAGCGGTATAACAAGGCACATTCGTGGGGACAAGGGGGGCATGATTTCTGAAGTTACTCTTGTTGAGCTCAAGATGGCAACTACCTCCAAGCAGGTGGCCGCCGTCGTGACGCCCGAGCCGGATCTGCCGCGCCGGATGCGCGGCGCGCTGATCAGGAGCATGCTGGATCGAGGCTATGTGCGCATCCACACCCACAAGCACAAGCAGTTTATGGGCGCCAAGCGACTGGTGTTCAAGCTCAGGAAGACAACCGAGTGCGACAACTTTGAACAGGTGGCGAAGATGCGCGCTATCACCGCCACTCATGCCCCGTTTGCTGCGGTCGGCCTCACTCCGGTCTCCTCATTGCTGCTTCACAACCACACCTACCAGTTTGTCTTCCACCCAAGCCTGGCGACAACAGCACGCAGCGAGCTTCCCATGATTGGCACGCTGGAGCGATTGGCGCGGCGTGCCGAGGCCAAGGAGCGCGCGCGCGATGCCGCGTCATCCTCGTCGGGCGACGGTGACTACTCGGCTGCCGGCGTCGACTCGGACGGCTCGATGTACTCGGCAAGCGACGAGTCGTACGAGGACGAAGTGTTTTGCAGTGATAGCGGCGACGACGGCGACGACGGCGACGACGATGATGACGATGACGACGAGTTTGACGATGGCAAGTGCGAGTCTGATCGGAGGTGGAAGGCCCGCCTGCACGAGATGATGCTCGCACTTGCTGACGAGCTCTCCGACAATGACGAGGAGAACGACGATGACGTCGATGCCAACAGCAAGAGCGCCAAGGTGAAGCGGAGCAGCAAACGCTCTGCGTCAAAGGCAGCGAATAAGAAGAAGAAGCAGCAGCAGCAGCTGATGAAGCGAAAGTAAACGTAGTTGATCTTGACCGAGGCGATGCCTGCCAAGCATCGTTGTGTCTCTCGTCTGTGAACAGTACCCAGTGGCGCGGGGCCAAGGCCACGGTTGATCGAGCACGTTGCGGATGATGTAGCCAATACCTGGTAGTAGAGAGACGGGCAGGAAGCACGGGCCGAGGTGAGGGCATTCTTGGAATGGCCCCAAAGGTTGGCAGTGCCATTTGGTCAAAACGACGCAATTTTTTCGTCGGTCGGCAGAGTCCCACCAATGACACCCGCCACTGCCACCCGCCAGCCAGCCACAGCTACCGAGCCAGCCACAGAGTCAGAGTCAGAGACAGACACAACTCGCAGTCGTAGTTGTTGTCGGCGTTGTCGTCGGAAGTCAGTCGCCGTTGGAGGCACTACCTTTGGAAGAGAGGAACGAGAAACTAGGCCTGTATGATCGAGACCGTGACGGCGGTCAGCTTGGAGCTGGTGAGCACAACCACCCGGGGTCGGAGGCGGGCGGCGGATAAGCTCCACATCAATGTTCTCATCTCGGCCTTCCCGGGACTCTCGGCCAAGACTAAGCGGACGATCGCCGAGAAGATGGCCCATCGCGGATTCACACATATCCATCCCAAGAGGGAATGGTATTTTGGGAGCAGGCCGATGGCGTTCAGAAAGTCGCCGAGTAACGCCCAAAAGATCAGCTGGCAGCAGCAGCAGCAGTATCAGGCTGCTACACGGAGGAGGGCGCTCACTGCCGTCGTCTCAGCGTTTACCTCTCTGGGTGCAGAGTTGAGGGGCCACTCTCACAGTGAGCTGATATTTATCTCGTCATCCGCAGTGTCCGAGCCCAAGTCGAAGAAGCGGCCCACCGCCAGATCGAACAAGTCGCCAGTCCGGGCCAAGTCCGGCTCACAGTCGGACTGGAGATCAGCGTCGGGATCATCGTCGGAATCGGCGTCGAGCTCGAGCTCGAGCTCCAGCTCCAGCTCTAGCTCCTCGCTCTCGGCGTCGGCCTCATCCGGCTCCCATGGCGCCGCCAAACACCGTCGCGAGTGGAAGGCGCGACTCGAGGAGATGAGCAAGATTCTTGAGCAGAAGGAGGGGAAGCAACAGCGTCGGAAGGGGCGTTGAGTGCAGCGATCGGTAGGATTGATAGCCAGAGGTAAAGGCGTTGAGCAAAAGTCGGCGGTTGACGACGTCCAGCCAAATATTTGTGATCATCCTCACGCTCACACTCCCTGCTCACACACAATGCCAACACATTCAAACAAAGATCCGTTTACCAACACCAGTAGGGGGATGGTGATGATGGCGTTGTAGATAAGAGGCAAGCCAGGCGTGAAAAAGAACCATCCACTGCCTCTGATGCCATCGCCATCACCGCCCGAGACCTCCCCCCCCCTTAAAAACACCCCACCAAAAAAGTGTGCACAGGCGGCACGGGCCCGTCACCGATCACACTCTCTCTTGCACACCCCTCCTCTCCCGCTTCCCCTTCCTTTGCCCCCTTGCACCAACCCCCTTGCACCACTTCCCCATGCACGCACGCACGTTCACCGCATTGTATGCGGTGCTGGCGCTCTGCCTCTTGGGCAGCGTCACCCCCAGCCACGGCATCTGCGCTTCGTGGTCAGGCACGCTCGGAGTGACCATTGTCAGTGAGACGGTGGCCGAAGCCCGTCGGACCATGGTGACGGAGGGATGCAGTCCCGGTGGATGGGTGACTCGCAATTTTTTGTTGGAGTGGTCGGGTGGCTCCAACTCGGGAGACATGCCCGCGACCTCGTTGTATCTCTCGAGTTTGACACCGGGCACGGAGTACTTGTTCACCTTTGTCACCGATGCTGATGAAAATGCGGATCCCATTGTGGGCGATGTCTCCTTTACCACACCATGCCCTGATCCCGGTACAGGTCGGTTGAATAACGTCGATGGCTGTCAGCTCTGCCCCCGCGGCGCGTACTCGCCGGCCAACACTGCAGAGTGCACGGCGTGTGTTGCTGGTACAACGACAACGGCGCCAGGCGCGACCTCCGTCGTCGATTGCATCTGCGACGTCGGTGCCGGCTGGAGGGACGACGGAAACGGCGAGGGCGAGTGCATGCTCTGCGCCGCAGACTCGTTCAAGGATGCGATTGGAGACGCACCATGTGAAGCGTGCGGTGCAAACTCGACGACGCTCTCGGCTATCGGCGCGACTTTGCCGTCGAGCTGCCTCTGCCAGCCCGGGTTCGAAGCGCTGCCGCTCCCGCCGCCCCCGCCGCCGCCCCCATTGCCGGCGCCGGCGCCTTCGCCTGCGCTCGTCTGTAGCCTCTGTCCGCCAGGCACGTACCGTTCCGGATTCTCCAGCTCGGAGCCATGCGTGGCGTGTCCTGGGTCGTCGCTGACGATCGCACCCGGCAGCAAGTCTGTCAGCGACTGCCTCTGCCCACCCGGCACCTTTGGCTCGCCGTTCAACTGCACCCAGTGCCCGGTCGGCACTTACTCTGCCGAGCACGGGGTGACCGCGAGTTGTGTGGCGTGTCCGACGGGCTCGACGACGGCGGCGTCGGGCAGTCTCAACGCTACGGCGTGCTCGGTGTGCGAGGCCGGGTACTTTGGGCCAAACTGTGATCCCTGCCCGGGCTGCGTCTTTGGATGCGACGACGGTGAGCGCGGGACCGGCGCATGTTCGTGCGGCGCCGACACCGGCCTCCTTCAGCCGGGCTGCACGACTTGCTCGTCGTCGTGGTTTGGTGCAGCGTGCAACCAGACGTGTACGTGTGTCAACGGAGTGTGCGACAGTGGGTTCACCGGCACCGGCGCCTGCCTCGAGTGCGACTTTGGCTTTGCCGGCGCCGACTGCTCGAGCTGCGCGCAAGGCTTTGATCCGGCCTCGCTTTGCTCCGCCTGCGCGGCTGGCCACGACAAGGCACCGGGCCTCTCGCCTTGTCTGCCCTGCCGGCCAGGAACGTACCAGCAGACCCCCGGCAGCGGGCTCGACTGCATCCCGTGCCCGTCGGGCTTCTTCCAGACCGGGTCCGGCGCGCACTACTGTGACATCTGCCCGGCTGGCACGTTTTCTGTCTCGCCGCGTACTGCTGCGTGCACAGGTTGCGGGCCAGGGCGTAGCTCATCGCCAGGCTCTACAGCGCTCGCGGACTGCAGCGACTGCCCGATCGGGAGCTACAAGGCTGACGCCGGTGCTGGTGAATGCCTTGCTTGCCCGGGTACCAGCACGACTGCCGTTGCCGGCGCAAGCTCGGTCGCTCTCTGCGGATGCGTACCAGGCGAGGGCTATGACGCTGTAAGCGAGAGCTGCGCGCCATGCGATGCCGCCGCCGGCGAGGTTTCGATCGAGCTCGACCAGTCGGCATGCACGCCGTGTCAGGCAGGCACGTACTTTAGCGCCACAGCGAGTCCATGCCGTCGTTGTCCTCCAGGTGCTGTTTGCGCCGGCGGCGGGACACCGCCACAGGCTGCGCCAGGCTACTATCCGGTCGCCAGCGGGGTGTATGTATCTTGCGCGCCGGCAGATGTGTGTGTGGGGAGGGCGCGTGCTTGCGCGGACACACCGGGTTCCGGTGCGGGACGTGTGCGAGCGGCTTTTACAAGGACGCCGACAGCGGGCACTGCAAGGACTGCCCTCGCAACATCGTGGCGGTATTTGTGGTGCTTTTTACATGCGCAGCGATTGGGTGCGTGGTGCTGGTGCGGATTGCACGGTCTGCGCATGGTTACTTTACGGCCGCCTCGATCGGATTCAACTTTCTGCAAGTCATCTCTGTCCTCGCCTCGTTTCCGCGGCTGCGGCTTCCAGGTTCGCTCAAGCAGCTATTCCGTGTTCTCTCTGCGGTCAACATCGACCTCCAGCTGTTCCGGCCCGAGTGCATGGTGTCGGACTCCAAGGCCGCGTACCACATCATCTGGGCGATCAAGGTCTCCACGCCTGCAATCATGCTGATCATCTTTGTAGCAGCGTGGGGCTGCGTATGGAGCTGGGCCAAGTGCCGCGGGACAATGCCGGCCGAGAAGCTGCAGAGCTGGAAGTACGCATTTACCAACGCGTCTGTCACCATGATGTTCATCCTGTACCTGATGGTGTCGAACACGGCACTGGAGATCTTCCCGTGCACTCGGCTTCCGGACGGACAGTACGTTATGGATCGCGAGCCATCGGTGGTGTGCTACAGTTCGACGTGGTTCCGGCAGCTTGCGGCGTCGCTTGCGGTGCTCATCTGCTACTCGCTGGCCATGCCACTGGTGGTGGGTACCGTGCTCTTCCGGCGGCGGGAGAACTTGTGGAAGCGAAAGAACCAGGCCAAATATGGCCTGCTCTTTGCGCGGTATCGGCCGGCATTCTTCCTCTTTGAGCTCGCGATCCTTGGGCGCAAGTTTGGGGTCATCTTTGGCAAGGTCCTCTTTGCGCACTCTGTAGTCTGGCAAGTCGTCTTTGCGCTGCTGGTCGTCGCGCTCTCGCTCGGTCTCCAGCTCCGGCTCCGGCCTTACTCGACGATCCGGATCAACCGGCTGGAGACACTCATGCTCGTGGCGGCCGAGGTGGTTCTGGCGCTGGCGGTGGCATTTGCGGTGGCCAACGGGACCTTCAGCTTTGGCACCATCTGCCTGCTCGCCACCGGAGTGTTTTTGGCGGTCGGGCTGGCGGTCATTGTGCTGGCAGTTGCGGTTACACTCGAGCTCCGCAAGACGTTCCGGCTGAAGAAGCGCGGGATTGTGGGCAAGTTTGCCATCGACAAGGTCGACGTCCTCCCAGCGTTCTTTGGTGCCGAGCTCGGCATCCGTGTGGTGGGGCACGAGCAGGCGCCGGCAGCAATCACACTCCGGCTCACGACCGAGAACGCCGTCGGCATTGCGGCGCAGACAGCGCTGGAGAAAGAGTTTGTGCGCAAGAGTGAGTTGAACCGGAGCTGGCAGAGTTACCTTGCGTGGCTTCGGCCGGCCTCGCGAGACGCTGCGGGCGCGCAGCCGCCTGTCTATCAGGGCGTGACCAGCGTCGGACATGAGCACGAGCTTGTACTCCGATGCGAGACCAACGGATACTACACAGTGGTGCTGGCGGCGGTGCCTGCGGTGCCTGCTCCACGGCCGCCGCTCCCGCCGGCAACCCGGGCTCGGCGCGCATGGGAAAAACTGGTAGCGCTGGTCGACGGCTCGGCATTTGAGCTCGCCATGGCGCCCGACATGGTGCGGCTGATCATGGCGCAGGGCGCGGAACGGCTCATCTCGATGCGGCTTACCATGTCGCCCGAGTGGAGTGCGGCCGAGAGCGTGGTGGGCGCGGGCGCAAGCACGAGCGCCAAGGGTTTTGGCGATGGCGGCGAGCTGGGGCTAGTGGCGCGTGTCGGCGGCGAGTCGAGCTCTGAGAGCGAAGTAGACTCGCTCATGCAGGCGGTGTTTAGTTGTTTGGGACGGCGAGGCGCACGCTGTGTGGACCTAGTCGAGCTTGACGGACCAGCCGGGCGGACCCTCGATGCGGCCGTACTGGATGCCCATAAGCTCCTCGGCGAGCTCGTGGGTGAGGTCGCCGGCGCGCTTGGAGGCGTCAGCAGAGAGCGGGATGTCGTAGTCGACGCCCTTAAAGTTGAAGCCCTCGATGGGCGAGACGATGCAAGCGGTGCCGGCGCCAAAGGCCTCGACCATGCGACCGTCGGCGATGGCGTCGATCATCTGGTAGATGGTAAACGGAGCCTCGGAGACCTTGACGTCGCCGCGGGAGCGGACGAGGTGCAGGATCGAGTCGCGAGTGACACCCGGAAGGATGGTGCCGTCGTCGAGCGGCGGGGTGACGAGCTCGAGCTCGCCGGCGGTGTTGTGCCAGAGGACAAACATGTTCATGGTACCGACCTCGGTGACCTGGCCGGTCTCGCCAAAGAGCCACATGACCTGGGCGTAGCCGGCATCGTTGGCCTTCTTCTGCGGGACGACGGTCGGGGCGTAGTTGCCGCCGGCCTTGGTGTAGCCGATGCCACCGGGCCAGGCGCGGACGTGGTGCTCGTCGGCGAGGAGGCGGACGGGCGCAAAACCGGACTTGTAATACGGGCCGACCGGCGAGGTGATGACAAAAAGCTTGGAGGCCGACGGCGCGCCGACGCCGAGTGACTCCTGGGTGGCGATGGCGGTGGGGCGGAGGTAGAGCGAGTACCCCGGCTTGCGCGGGATCCAGTCCTTGTCGAGGCGGACCAGCTCCTTGATGCCCTCGAGCACGGCGTCCTGGTCAAAGTCAGGCAGGCCGAGGCGAGTCGACGACCGCGAGAACCGTGCCATGTTCATGTCCGGGCGGAAGAGGCGGGCACAGCCGTCGTCGTCGATGTACGCCTTGAGGCCTTCAAAGCACACGCCGCCATAGTGGTAGCACGAGGCCGACGGGTCGATGTCAAACGGGCCGTACGGGCGGATGACCGGGTCCTTCCACCCCTCGGCCGCCGTCCAGTCAATCTCGAGCATGTGATCGGCAAAGTTGGCGCCAAAGACAAGCTCCTCAGCCGGGAGCTTCTCCCGCGGCGTTGTCGTCTTGGTCACCTTCAGCTTGGACATGTCCGGGCCAGCCGCAAACATCCGCGCGAGCGCACGCGGCGCGACAACGTTCGACAGAGACCGCAGCACTGGTGCGTATAATTTTGGTTGCAAGACACGCAAGTCGTGTTTGCCCATGATTTTCCCTGTGAGTCACGTGGTGCATGCGGTGGCGTTTTTGACGCGGCTGTCGCGCTGGGAGGACTGTGTGTTGAAGGGGGGAGGGGGGAAGGGGAGGGGGAGGGGGTAGGGTGGGAGAGGTGGTG